CAGCAATCCCACTTCTGTGTATATATCCTAAAGAACTGATGGTAGGGTCTCAAAGAGATATGTGTACACTTAATTTCCTAGCAGCTTTATTCACAATAGCCAAATGTCCACTGACAAAAAATGTTGTATATACCTACAATGAAATATAATTCAGCCATAAGCAAAAGAATCCCTGTCACATGCTACAACATGGATGACACTTGAAGACATTATGCTACGTGAAATAAGCCAATCACAACAAGACAAATACTGTGTGATTCCTTTATATGAGGTATCTGAAATAATCAAATTCATAGACACACAAAGTAGAAGGTGTTTTCCAGGGGCTGGAGTGTGAATATGTATTTTTCAATTCTCTTATATTTTTAGAAGTGGAATTGCTGGATCATATGCCAAACTGTGTTCCAAACCGGCTGCACCACTTTACATTCCCACCAACGTACAAGGGTTCCAGTTTGTCCACATCTTCATCAACACTTGCTTTGTCTATCTCTTTGATTAAAGCAATCCTAGTGGGTGTGAAGTCATTGTGGTTTTGATTTGCATTTCCCTAGTGACTAATAATGTTGAGCATCTTTTCATGTGTATGATGGCCATTTGTAGATCTTTTTTGGAGATACACCTATTCAGATTCTTTGCTCATTTGTAAAATGGGTTGTCTTTTTATTGTTAAATTATAAGAGGTTTTTATATATTCTGGATACAAGACCCATTATATTTTTAAATTAAGGAAACATCTTTTGATTATAGCTTTTTATACACTTCATTAGCTTTCAAAATATTTTCAAGTTAGACTACATTCTTTAAGCACATGAAATGTCACCTTAAATATAAATTGCATAGGAATTTAAAAATTTAAAGCAACCACTGCTTTTTCAAACATATGTATTCCAAGGCAAGGAGTTGGGACATACGGGGACCCATAGGTGAAAAGATTTACAGAAATAAATGCAATGTATGGACCTTATTTGAATTCTGACTTGAACTGGAAAAAGAATTATAAGACGATTTAAAATACTGACTGGATAATTACTAAGAATTTAACATTTAAGTGTGGTAATAGTATTGAGATTATATTTAAGCATCCTTATCTTTTCGATATAAATACTTAAAACACAAATGGAATTATCTATGTGGGACTTGCTTCAAAATAAATCAGGGTTGCAAAGGTGGGTGGCATATAGACAGGTAAGATCGGTCATAAATTCATCATGTTGAAGTAGGTTCATTATACTATTGTACTTCTGTGTATGTCTGAAATTTTCTATTAAAAATTTAAAAAGCACTACACTCCAATGTCCACTATGTGTAAGAGCACAAGTTGCTGGCAGCAACTAAATGATACCAACTAAAGTTTTACAAATTTAAGAAATTCCCAGTTACCTTAAAGGCAAAAGAGCTCTGGGAAACTTAGAGAGACTGTGACATATCCGTGCAGTGCAATGTCTGTACAATGTTTTAAATATTACCACCAGTCACAGGCTGACTCGGTAGCTTTATCAACTATGATCCACACAACAGCACCAAGCACCAGCCACAGCACTGCTCACCTACGCACTTCATCTCCTCAGCAGAGTTCTAAGGGACCAGAGCACTCCCACTGGAAGGCTAGAATAACTTTTCTCACTGGCTACAGAAAATACTACCTTCAACTAAGTACATGTCTATAGTAAGTCATTTTACAGTAATCCCACAGGGCACCTTACACTCAAACTGCATATCCAATCTATGGACACACGAGTTAGGATTGCGAGGTAGAATTTGCACACTTAGAATACATACCCACCAGAATGACTATAATAAAAAAAGACAAGTATTCTCAAAGATGTGAAGAAACTGCAACGCTTATGATTTGTGGCAGGAATATTTTTAAATAGTACAGCCACTCTGGAAAAGATTTGGCAGTTTTTAGGAAATTAAGCAAAAATTTTCCAACCAACCCAACAATTACACTCCTGGGAATCTACCTACGAGAAATGAAAACATTATGTCCACACAAAGGCATATATGTGAATGTTCATAGCATCATTATTCATAATACCCAAAAAATATGAACAATCCAAATGTCCATCAACTGGTGAATAAGCAAAATGTAGTACAGCCATACACTGGAAGATTATGCAGCAATTAAATGAACAAAGCACAGGCATTGGCTACAACAGGAGTGAACCTCAAAAACATCATGCCAAGACGCTGGATGCAAAAGACTTCAAATTGTCTGACTCTATTTATGTGTAATTCCCAGATAGGGAAAATCTACGAAGCAGATGAAAGTGGCTGCCTGGGGCTGGGGGTAAGGGAGGGAATCAACTGCAAAGGACCATGAGGGGAGCTTTTATGGGCTGAGGGAAATGTTCTAAAACTGGATTGTGAGGATGGTTGCACAACTCTATAAATTTACTAAAACCATCAAATTGCTTATTTACAATGGGTGAATTTTATCATGTGTAAGTTATACCTCAATAAAGCTATTTTTTTTAAGTACCATTACACCAAGTCTTTGGAACGACTCTTTTTAAAGTTCTGGCTGATAGCCCTATTTAATTTCAATAGAATGAGTTCTAACCTACTCTCAGGATTAAAAATAGTATTAGCATTTGCTTGAAACCTAAACACGCTACTTTTGAAGGATTCCAAGTACATACATCTCTAATCTTTACTGATCAATTATTACTCTTTTAGCTATGTGCCTTGTTAACTATAAGACAAATCCTTGTCTACAGACTACCCTAGCATTTTCTCTCAGCCATTTTTCCCCCTGAATGTATGCCCGACACTATTGCTTTTTGTAAAAATCTTGTTTGGTATTGCCCCAGTTTTCCATTAAGTACAAAGTTTTCTTAGAGTATTTCATAACTTGAGCTAGAATTTTAAGTAAATATTTATATTGAACATGAACATTCTAAACATACACATTCTAAATACAAAATATTATCCTTTTTGTTTTGTTTCTTCATTAAGCCATTCACATACTGCCTCTGGCAAGTCTCAAATCAAGCTTTGCTTTCAACTACTTTGGTTCAAAATTCTTCTTTAAAATTATTTGATGGATTCTTCTTTCAAAGCAGTTGCTGTCTTCTATGATCAGACCTGCTTTAATTCTGGTCTAACTCCATCTCTTTCCATTCCACTGAAAAATCTGCCAAAGGGGTAATGTTCCCGCTTATGCCAGACATTAAAAAACAATTTCTTTTAACCGAACATTTTTCTCAAACCAAATTTCATATGCAATGCCATTAACCTGCAAGAGATAAAGTAGGAAGCTATGGATAAAGTGGAAGAAGAGGCACCCTGCCTCCATGGCCCAACCTCATGGAATATAGCAGCCTCGAAGTAGGGCTTAAAAAGCGATGCCCTACATTACAAGTCACATTTCAGCACAGCACAAATACAAAAAAATTAAACTGAAAATATTTAAGCAATACACATAAGAAAAACTTGGATATACTTAAATAAAAAAAACAGACTTTTGGGGACCTCAATTTTAAAAATTGGTAACTATAAAATAATTCCCAAAATAATGTCTTTAAAACTCCATAAATACATTACTTTCTAGGAATTCCATCTACTACAAAGATTGTGTACCTTTTATCATAATTTCCTTATTTATGACAGATTTTAAAAGAAGATCAACCAAAGAAAAGCCAAAAAGCCACAGTAACACAGAACATTGAGCCTAGTGGGAAGTGGTTAAATAAGTTGGTCAGCAGGAAATGCCAATTACCCAACAGGCAGTAAAGGAAAATAAGATGGCAAGAATGCTCTGGTAAAACCATTTATGTATCTGTATTATGAATTAAAAAAAAAAAGCACTATCTGCCTCCAGAATCAGATACAAATCAAGCAAATATTCAACCAAAATGGCAACAAATAGTAAGGATAAACCTGGAAAAGGGGATTTGTACTATTAAGAATTTTCAAGTTTATATCAACTACAAAATATAAACCCCTTCCCCTCAGAAATCAAAGGTATCATGATATATAACTTCACATTTCTATAAAATAAAAATAGAAATTATTGCTCTATGACTGTAAAAATGGAGGCAAGTAGAGTTTAGAAATATACTCGTTTATAATCAATTAAATGATGAGCCATAATTTGAACCCTAGTTATCACATTATGTAGAAATCACAATTCAGGTGTTGTGTCCTTAGTTATTAAGATATATGTTAAATAGTTCACATTTTAAAAACATTTTATCGTTACATAATCAAATTTGATAAAATTTTATCAAAACATCTATGTATTCAATATAAATCATATTGTTAAAAGTTTTATAAAGTAACATTTAAAGAAAACTGCTGAGGTGCCAAATAATTATTTTCTATTAAATATACAACTTAACATTTAGAACTATATAAATTAATTCTTGCTAAAAGTTGATTCAGGTTTACAAAGGCATACTTTGTGAACTATAATAAATTTCCCCAGCACCACTTTCCTTTTCCATTCCAAAATTCTTTCATTAGGTTTAACTTTCTTCTGTCATTCATATGTAAAAGTTACAGAAGGTTTACAATACGTTGTCTTAATAGTAACATGTTTTCAAAAAATCTAAGCAAAGTGCACATTAAACTAGCTACAACTACTCAAATTCCTTATCAAATAAAAAATAGATGAACACTTCATTCACTTAAATCTTTGAGGAAAAAAAAAAAATAGTATAACCTTGCTTAAATAAGAATTCCCCAGTAAGGATATTATATAAAAGATTTCCCATGTTATTTTATTTACTTTCTCTCATTAAAACTTTTTAAAAGTCTAATGCAGAACACACACTTACAATGCCATATTACACAACTACAGTACTGTTAATTAAACAAAGCAGCCCAGTATAGTTGTAAACATTTTAAAAATGTAGTAAACAAGACTTGGCATGTCTTTTCTTCCCAAAACTTGCCATTACAATGCTCTTTCCATGAATAATTACTCTTCCTGGAAAAGTTTAAGGTATATTTTAGTCTTTAAAAATATTACACTGAAATAATATGTGAAAAGATTTAGTCATGGCAATTTCACGGAAGCTTTTATTGCCTCTGTTGGTAATATGACAGGGATTGTAAGAAGCACAATTGAACTTACAGAGATTTGCAGATGATAGTCACTAACGATAATCTTGATCTCAAGTATTTTTATATGTGGGCACTTCTAATTTTATACACTTTACTATTTAAAAAGCATTACATTTTAAAATGTGTACCTGTTTTGACATTTGGCAAAAAGGAAACTGTACCTGTGGTTCAATTTAAAACAAAGAATCAGCCTGGGGAGTTTAACAAAATGAAGACTGAAACACTAATGAATTAAAGCATTTCAAGGTATGTGTGTGTGTGTGTGTGTGTGTGTGTGCGCGCGCGCGCATGTGTGTATGAGCATGTGTGTCTCTTTCAACCTCTCTGTCAATCTCTCTCACAGACACACTCACACACATACACAGCCATATGTATAAGCATTTTTTTAGTACAAAATACTCCCTGTAACCAGACATTTATCCTCAAAATAATCACACCACATTAAATCAGTCTTCTCTTTTCAGCCCTAGTAATAGTATTGTTTAATTCTAAGATGCCATCATAGAGTGAACAACCTTAACTTTTATGCTACATAATTATATTCAAAGCTTTATGTATTTTTTGTTTATAATTACACAGTAATTATAAATGTTTAGTACCAAAATGATGACAAACACTATTTTGTTGAAAAAGGTCTTGCGTTTAAAAGGAAAAGTCTGTAAACCCAAGGCACTAAGCCATGAACCAATATCAGACTTCTAAGAAAAACCATTTATATTGGGGGAAAAAAAAAAAAAAGCTAATGGGATCTCACTTTAAAACACAGCATACTCGAATTAATCAATCCGAAAACAATACCATAACTCAAAATCTTCAAGACAAAAAACAAAATAGTACATATATATATATATCTTTTTAAATTTTTCATAATTGAAGTTCCTCTTTATATTTACAAATATGAAATCAGGAAATACTGAAAGCAGCAGGATTCTTTTTTTCTTTTTCTTTTTCTTAAAATAACCAATTCTAGTAACCTGAATAGAAGTTTTCAAAATATTCTTTTGGTAGAATTAATATTCTTGAGTTAAAGTTATGATTGGAATATTAATATAATATCTATGGGGAAAGCTCAATTTCAGAAACTGTGTAAATAAAAAGTAGTTGTAAGATGTCACTGTTTCTTAAAATCATTTCCACATCTACATAAAACATACTGCTATTCTGAAGTACATTCCTTTGATAATTTTAACATTGGGCCTTAGAGAGTTGCCTGGATATACCAAGCAAAATCTATTCCTGCTAAAGACCAAAGTCACCCAATATATGAAGTTTTACATTTTTTTTTACTTGCCTTACAGAAATGTTTAAGAGAGCAAGAAACCCTTCACATGTCAGGAAGTGAACAGAAAAGTGAGGCATTTTCAGCATGAAAGCAGTTCATGGGTCTTGTAATGAAAAAAATAATATAAGATAGGATTCTGCTTTGATGTGAAAACTGAGCTAATTTGAACAAAACAAAAAAGGTAAAGAAACTAAATAATTTACAAAAATAAAAGCCAGATTGGTATTTTGCATCAAGTACATGCTTGCTTGAAAATTTTTGCTCCTGAAGTATTTGGCAACCACAGTGATTAGCAGTTAAAGGAATTTCAACAAAATAAGAAGTCATCAAAAATGGACTATTTATCTGAAAGCAGTACCTATAAGGATTGAACTTCATGGCTCATCATGACCATTTTCAAAATTTAATTCCTACTATCTTCTTATAAATTAAGAGAATTTCATTTGTGTTCCATAGTGTGCTGACAAAAACAAACAAACAAAAAAAAAACAAAACAAAAAAAATAAACCCTCATGCCTAAATTTAGAATATTGTATTGTGTAGCAATCTAAAACATTCAAAACAAATTAAATAGTTTAACTTATTCAACAGGCATATAAGCATTTCAAAATCATAATGAAATCCAATTATGTAGTGCATAATGTAGACAGGAGTAGAATCTAACATTATGCAGACATTTCCTAAATAAAAGTTCCCTGTAAGACAACTATACATAAACATGGGTAAGGTAAGTGCAGACTAGTTCTGTGGAACCTTTTGAAATCGAGGGTCTGAAACACAATAAATTTTTCAGGTAGGCACACCAAGTTATCCTCAAAATTTTTCACGTTGGTTATTTTGACATCAGTTACTCTACTCACATCAACAATACATGTGATTTGCCAGGAAAAAAAAATCCCCCCAAACCAAAACACCATTCCAGATCTGGTACACTTAAATATATCACTCTCATTGGAAGTGCTATCAGCATAGTCTTTGCAACTAGCCCAAAGCATATATTTAAGAAGTTTTTATAAATTGTTTGTGATGTTCATATGTTTAATTCTTATGCCAAACTGCTTTCTGATGAAGACAGCATTGTGCTTTATGCAAGAATGGAAACCTCAAAATAATCACCATAAAGCTTCTAAGACTTATGGGAGAATAAACTAGGATGGTCCACAGATATAAGATGAAATCCACAATGTTGGAATTATAAATGTTTAGAGCGGCCCAGACTAGAAGACAAGCCCAAACCACCATTAGAAGAATGAAATACGATATGGTCCAAGATGTATCCTTAAAGTTTTGACACAACCCTCAGTCTGAATTGTGAGGATTGATCTTCAGTTCAGTCCAGCCAGCAGAAATTGACTGTGCAATTTTCCGTTGTATTTATTGTACAGACTATGTACATTCTAGAAGGTTCCTTTAGTGCTACACTGTTGTACTTTTTGTCCCAGCAATTTGAGGGCGTGCAAATTCCACAAAGTCATCAATAAGAACAGGCCATGCTCCTGGGGGGAAAAAAAAAAAGTATGGGAACAAAGAAAGGAGGAAAAGCAGAAATAAAATTTTAAAGAGAATCCTTTACTTTTTAAAATACCATCCCCGTAACAGTTAAAGTATATCATTACAAATATTCCCACTGATCAGACTTCCAAAATTCTGACTTTTTAGAGTTTCTACCTGAAATATTCCTTATATTCTCTCTGCTCTATTATTCTAAGACTTGATTATCCTCTGAGTGATAAATAATAACTCTTCTGGTGACCAATCAAGAATATCACGGTTTTCTGAAGGCCACGGAACTGGCAGCCTAAGAAATGGCCAGGCCACAATGGCATGCTGCCAGCACTGAGAGTATAGGTAGGTGGGAGGAAAAAAGTTTCCCGGCATTTTGTGGCGAACTTACAAGGGAAATCAACAGCAAATATCAACCTCTATCTAATTTCATGATAATAAATTACTAAAAGATTTTAAATTGCACATATGCATGCCTCTACACATCCACACACCAACCTCCAAATCAGGAAGTTCTCCAGTTTTGTGTAAGGCCTAACAGAAAGCACAATTATCATCAGTAATACGCAGGCTTAGACATTTCTCACTTGTCAGTGGAGACTGTACATCATAATGAAAACAAAGAGAAAAAAATAACATCATCTCTGGTTAAATAGTTCCAGGACACTTTTAAGGAGGCCAAGGTCATTGGAGATTTTTCAAAGAGTACCTCTGTCTATTCAACAATCTCAAAAATGCATCCTGCTAATTCTCAAGGGAAGCTTAGTAAGGATGTGTGAGGAAATCAATGTAAACCACTGTCACTTCTCAAAAAATAAAAGCAAGGTCCTCATAGTGGATGGTAATATCTTTTTACACACATGAAAAAATATCAGAAAAGAATTCAATTGATGATCATTTACTGAATGTCAACAGTACTACAGTAGGGCAGCTGAAGTACATTTCAAATTTAACAAAGTCACTGAACTTGAGTTTACAGTCAAGTTCACAGACAAGACAGATAACAATAAAAACACAAATATAAAAGTACATTAAGAAGAGTAATGAGTAAACTGAAAATCTAAAGTAAACTGAAAATCTAAAACATGGATGAGAACTATTCATGCATTTGTGGAAGACAGGATTACCGAGTTGGTATTTAAAGAAAGAGAACAATATAGGCTAGTAGAGAGAACAAAAGCATTTTATATATTCGGAAGAACACAAATAAGAGGTCAGAGGACAGAAATCCAACTCCAAGAAAAACAGAAGTAGATAAGAAGTTCAAGAGTATGTGATAAAGTAACAAAACCAAAGTTACTAAGGCCAAAACGTTCATTACCTTCTTCATCATAATTAGACATGTCATCTGCAATCATTGTACTGAAGTCTAAAAGAAGGTTCCAAGTATCTTTTGGTATTGATCGTTTATGATGTTCCTATTTTTAAAAAATAAGCAAAAAACATCCAAATCACCAGAGAGTTTCAAAATACCAGCCCAAATGATGCTAAATTCAAGAATGCAAAATAACTTGTGTAATGAAATTCTGGTAATCAAATTTCTCATTCTATGTCCACTACACACTCTGAGATGAGTTAGTCATGCTTTAAAAAATGTTAATTTATCTTCAAAGTAAAAATGTAGAGAAAAGATGGAGCTGCAGAAAACATGAACTTACCAACAAAAATTTATTCCATAAGTCTAAGAATTTAAATCTTCCATTAAGCACTAAATTCCAGTAGGCAATGGCCATTTCTAGATCTGTAATATTAAAAATAAGTTATGTATTTCAAATTCCATGAATATTTATCCCTGCAAAAAAACACAGGTAAGACCAAAAATAGCCCTAAAAAAAAAAAAAAAAGTTTGTTTTTTTTCCCCTGACTACTGTGTCGTAAAATTTTCATATACAGATAAGACCAAGGTTTGTATCCTGCCCTCCCTCACTAATGAATAGTCCCTTCAGGGCAAGAAGAATACCACTTACCTCACACGGGGTTTCTGAAGCCTAAATTGGATAATGCGAAGACTAGATAAGTAATAAAATGTTAATGTACACCAGTGTTTCTCAACCTCAGCACTTTTGATATTTGGGGCCAAATAATTTTTCGTTGTGGGGGGCTGTCCTATATTTTATGACATTAGCAGCATCCCTGGTCTCTACCCACAGCTCCATTCTACCCCCAGTGGTGACAACCAAACTGTCTCCAGACATTGCCAAAGCCTTCCCCCGGCGGGGGGAGAACAAAGCTGCCCCCAGTTGAGAACCACCAATGTACAACTACAGGTTGTAACACAAAAGACTGCTTTCCACAATGACTGATCCTGACTTCAGAGACCACTAAGAATACGGATTTAAAAATTAAAATCCGTCAACTAAGATTTGCTTTTAGAAAAGTTTGATGAAGATGATATAAATGGCTATTTAATTGGGTTTGGAGCAGAGTGAAGCCATACTGCTCCATGACAAAGTATAATACCTGTCATGACAGAGAGAAAGAACTATAATCTCTTTCAAGGAACTAAACCTGTTAAGAAAGTATCAAGCTTTTATGAGTAAATTTACATCTCCACGTCGGGAAAAATTACATCCCAAGTAACTTAAAAGTCCTTTCAGATATGATCTCCAAACCACCCGATAATCTGAAGAATCCTGAGACTAGGGAAGACTCCAAAAAGGCTCACATCCTACCTCAAAGAACAATATATAGGCCATAAGGCAAAAAATCCCCCTTCAGCACTGGACCTTCACCTCTTCAAGGATAGGGACTGCATATCCCCACATGAGCAGACTGAAACACAGCACACATTCCGAAACTGCTGAATGAATGAAATTCCTACAGTTCCATGTGCAAATGCACTACTTACCCTCAAAGCCATCATTACATCTTCCTTCAAACTCAGTGGAAAAGGTGTCACTTTTTTCTCTTCTCCAAAGATAAGCCCTCACCACCACTGTTCTCAAGCCAATACTCATCCTGCCTCTTCAGGAATCTTATCTATTAGTTAGTTTTCCTCTCTCCCTACATCTTCAACTTTGCCCTGTCTTCTGGCTTTTTCCCCTTCACAAAGAAATATGCTCAGGTTACAGCACTTACCATTAAAAAAAAAAAAAAAAAAAACTTTCCTGGAACTCTCATCCCCTTAACTAGCTACCCTCTTTCTCCTTCCCCTCACAGATAATCCTGAAACGGTACATGGAGTCTTCTACTTTTATACATAATGTGCTCCTGAAAGCAAGGCTGAAACTCAAATTCAGATCCCCAGGTTTTAAGAAAACTAGAAATATGACACCAACTCCTAATCATAATACCTTTTTAATCTTTGCAGTCTTTACGGCTCTATAGCCAATATTCCTTTCAGGTTCTTTAATTTTGTTCTTTTCTTTAACAACTAAACATGCTAATTGTCTAGCTCAAGTGCAGTACATAACAACTCTTATTAGCATTCTTAATCTCCTTCTTCCCTTCAAATGAATGAAATGTATAACTAAGCGTATTACTAGTGCTAGCATTTTTTTTCCTTTTCAACTAATTTTCACAAAATAAGGATAAGAAACAACAGAGATATTCAAATAACTACAAACCAGGAGACACCTATTTTGTCAGCCGATACACTAAAAAAGAATCTGACAAGTATGGAAGTGTATGTGTATGATGTTTGAAGGTTTAGGATGTAAAGGAAGAGAATTTGTTTGTAATGTACATTCATTGCCCCATTTCCTCACCTCCCACACACTCTTTAATTCTATAAACTAGCATGTACCTCTGTCACTCTACTGGAAGTAATCTCTGCCAAATAAACACTTTGATGTCCTTAATTTACCTGGCTCTCTGCCACACTGGACAAAACTGAATACACCGCCTAGATGATTTGTCACTTCTTTCAGCTTTAACTGATAGTGCTCTATTTTCCTCTGTCCTCTTTGGCTTTCTCTTTCTCTTTTATTGGCACCCCTTCCTCCATTCATCCCTTCCATGTTGGTGTTCTGTAATACTGTATGTCAGCAATAACCATTTCTACTACCTGCAGATTTTTCAAACCCTTACCTTTTTCCATGTCATATGCTCAATTGTCTTCAACAACTCCTAAATCTGAATCTTTTATCTCTATGTTCTAGATTCATATATCAAATTGCCTAAGGACATCTTCAACTGGGTATCCATAAACAGCTCAAATTCAACAGAGTTCAAACTGAACTCACTGTCTTCCTCTACAGACCTGCTATTCGTTCTCTCAATGTCCTCACCCTACAGTGTTTCTCAATGAAACACAATTTCACACTGTAAAGAACTACCCTGTGCACTGCAGGACATTCGGCACCCTCCTAATGTCAGAAGAAACCCTCAGTCATTATGACAACCAAAAAACATCCACATACATTTCCAAATGTCCCCTAAAGGTGTTCAGAATTGATAGAGAAACTCCTTTCTCTTCCTCATCACACACTTTCAGTCAAAGCACTTTCATTTTGGCTTCTAAGTACCTTTTAAATCTCTCTTCTCCATCCCTACTGGCAGGACCAATGCTAGGGTCCTCTTCATGTCCAGCTAAATCACTCTTCCTTTAGTTCTGACTCCACTCCTTTTAAAGAACCACAATGCTTTCATACGGACCTTTCAGGCATACAAATTTGGTATCACTTCCATGTTAAAATTCTGCAATGATTAAAACAACGAGATACCACTACACAGCTGCTGAAATGGCCAAAATCCAAAACACTGACAACACCAAATGCTGGCGAGGATGTGAAGCAACAGGAACTCTCATTCATTGCTGGTGGGAATGCAAAATAGTACAGCTACTTTGGAAGACAGTTTGGCAGTTTCTTACAAAACTAAACATACTCTTACCATATGATTTAGCAATCGCACTCCTTGGTATTTGCCCAAATGAATTCAAAACTTATGTCCACACAAAAACCTGCACATACATGTTTACAACAGCTTTATTCATAATGGCCAAAACTTGGAAGCAACCAAGATGTCCTTTACTAGATAGAGAGATTATATAAACTGTGGTATATCCAGACAGAGGACTATTACTCAGTGCTAAAACAACATGAGCTATGAAGCCATGAAAAGACATGCAGGAAAACAAATGCATATTAATTATTACTAACTGAAAGAAGCCAGTCTGAAAAGGCTAATTCTGAAAAAGGAAAACTATGGAGACAGTAAAAAGATCAGCAGTTGCCAGGTTAGGAGGGAGGAAAGGATGAATAGGCAAAGCAGAGGACTTTTAGGGCAGTGAAAATTCTCTGTATGATGCGATGATGATGGATACATGTTGTTACTATGTTTGTCCAAACCCACAGAATGTATAACATCAAGAGTAAACCTTAATGTAAACTTGAACTCTGGGTGATAATGATGTATCAATATAGATAAGAGCTATGTATGTGTGGGGACTGTAAGAAATGTACCACTGTGGGGTACAATGTACCACTGTTGATACTGGAAGGAGCTATGTATGTGTGGGGACAGAAAATCTCTGTACCTTCTACTCAATTTTGCTGTAAACCTAAAACAGCTCAAAAAAATAATGTCTACTAAAAATTTTTTTTTAATCTGCAATAATTTTCCTATTGCCTTCAGATAAAATCTGCACTTCTAGTTAAATGAACTTACTTGCGGTTCCTCAAAGGTGCTGTCTCTCACCTCTGAGCAACTGAACTTGCTAATCTCTCCACAAAAAGAGATGGCTTCTATTTTTGGGGGGGGGGGTCCTTGAAAACATATACTCATTCTTCAAGGCTCAAAAATTAATCATCTTTGCTTGCAGGTCCTGCACTGGAGGAGACGCACACAGCTAACACTGTCTTCCTCACTCAACTATTACAGCCGGTTCTCTCTGGGCACAATGGCAACTCTTAAGGAAAAACTGATTGCACCAGCTGCAGAAGAGGCAACCGTCCCAAACATAAGATCACTGCAGTGGGTGCTGGACAAGTTGGTATGGCATGTGCCATCAGCATTCTGGGAAAGTCTCTAGCTGATGAACTTGCCCGTGTGGATGTTTTAGAAGATAAACTCAAAGTAGAAATGATGGATCTGCAACCTGGGAGCTTATTTCTTCAGACACCTAAAATTGTGGCAGATAAAGATTACTCTGACTGCCAATTCTAAGATTGTGGTGGTGACTGCAGGAGTCCGCCAGCAAAAGGGAGAGAGCCGGCTCAATCTGGTTCAGAGGAATGTTAATGTCTTCAAATTATTATTCTGCAGGTAGTCAGGTACAGTACTGATTGTACCATAATTGTGGTTTCCAACCCAGTGGATATTCTCACATATGTTACCGGGAAACTAAGTGGACTACGCAAGCACTGTGTGATTGGAAGTAGGTGTAATCTGAATTCTGCTAGATTTTGCAATCTTATGGCTGAAAAACTTGGCATTCATCCCAGGAGCTGCCATGGATAGATTTTGGGAGAATATGGCAACTCAAGTGTGGCTGTGTGGAGTTTTCTCTTCAGGAACTGAATCCAGAAATGGGAACAGACAACGACAATGAAAATTGGAAGAAGTGCATAAGATGGTGGTTCAAAGTGCCTACGAAGTCATCAAGCTAAAAGGATATACCAACTGGGCTAGTGGATTAAGTGTGGCTGATCTCACTGAATTAATGTTGAAAAATCTATCCATGGGCGCCTGGGTGGTTCAGTTGGTTAAGCGACTGCCTTCGGCTCAAGTCATGATCCTGGAGTCCCGGGATCGGTCCCGCATCGGGCTCCCTGCTCGGCAGGGAGCCTGCTTCTCCCT